ATGGGGCAACAAAAGACCCCATATAGCTAAAGCAATCCTGAAAAAGAAGAGTAAGGCTGGAGGCATCACAATCCTTCATTTGACTTTAAAACATACTACAAAGCAATAGTAAGTAAAACAGCATGGTACTGGTACAAAAACTGATACACAGATCAATGGAACAGAATTGAAAGTCCAGAAATAAAACCAGATATCTATGGGCAGCTAATCTTTGACAAAAGAGCTAAGGACATACAGTGGAGAAAGGAAAGTCTCTTCAATAAATGGTGCTTAGAAAACTGGACAGCCACTTGCAAAAGAATTAAAGTAGACCACCTTCTTTTGCCATACACAAAAATTAACTAAAAATGGATCAAAGACCTGAAGCTGAGACCTGAAACTATAAAACTACTGGGGGAAAATATAGCTAGTACACTACTCACCATCAGCCAGAAATGGATCTTTTTGAATTCCATGTCTACTCATGGAAAAAATAAACAAGTGAGACTTCATCAGATTAAAGAGCTTCTACAAGGCAAATGAAACAAGGATCAAAATGAATAGGGAACCCACCAGCTGGGAAAAAAATATTTGCAAACCATATATCTAACAAGTGATTAATCTCCATAATGTATAAAGAACTCACACAACTGAATAACAAAAAAACAACCCAATCAAAAAATGGGCAGAGGCAACGAACAGACATTTCTCCAAAGAACATGTACAGATGGCCGATAGGCACATGAAAAGATGCTCAATATCACTAATCATCAGGGAAATGCAAATCAAAACCACACTAAGATATCATCTTACACTTATTAGAATGGCTATAATCACCAACACAAAAACCAACAAATGCTGGAGAGGCTGTGGAGAAATGGGAACCCTAATCCACTGCTGGTGGGAATGCAAACTGGTGTAGCCTCTGTGGAAAGCAGTATGGAGATTCCTCAAAAAATTAAAAATAGAAATACCTTATGATCCAGCCATCCCACTACTTGGTATCTACCCAACGAACCTGAAATCAACAATCCAAAGAGGCTTATGCACCCCTATGTTCATCGCAACATTATTCACCATAGCCAAGACATGGAAGCAACCCAAGTGTCCCACAACTGATGATTGGATAAAGAAGGTGTGGTATATATATACCATGGAATACTACTCAGCCATAAAAAAAGATAAAATTGCCCCGTTTGCAACAACATGGATGGACCTGGAGGGTATTATGTTAAGTGAAATAAGCCAGAAAGAGAAAGACAAACAGTGCATGATTTCACTCATATGTGGAATATAAACCAACACATGGACAGATAGAACAGTTTGGTGGTTACCAGGGGCTAGAGGGGTAGAGGGTGGGCACAAGGGGTGGAGGGATGCACTTATATGGTGACTGATAAACAATAATGTACAACAAAAATTTCACAATAAAAAAATTATTAAAAAAACTTTATTGCTAAAAAAAAATAAAGATAAATAAAGATACCAATTCTCCTAAAAAAACAAAGAAACAACTGAAGTTTCTATAATTTTCTTCCTCAAAATCCTGTTATATAATAGTAAAAGGATTTTTGAAAATGCAATACATACCAATGGGATATGAACTCTTTTCTCATTCTAAGCACAGGTAAATAAAGTTTTAGAAAAAATTGCACAAACACTAAGCCGAGCATGAATTAGAATGGTAAATATCTATGTGTCAGAAATAAAGATGGGCATCAAAATCAGAGAAATAAGTGCACAGGTCAAGGGTGAGACGGACTCCATGGGTAGTGATTGTAAATATAGGAACTAGACCCGGAAAGCCATGGTTTTAACGTCTACGTGTGTACATGGCCTTGGGCCTGTGAGAGTTGGGGACCTGTGGCCAAGTCCCTTGTCGGTATATGGTAGGATGGGAACTCAATCATATCCACAAAAATGTCTTTATTTTAAAAACAATCCAGTGTCATGGGCCGGCCCCGTGGCTTAGTGGTTCGGATCCTGGGCGCGCACTGACACACTGCTTCTCCGGCCATGCTGAGGCTGCGTCCCACATACAGCAACTAGAAGGATGTACAACTATGACATACAACTATCTACTGGGGCTTTGGGGGGGAAATAAATAAATAAATAAAATCTTTAAAAAAATAAAAATAAAAAAAATAAAAACAATCCAGAGTCAAAATGGTAACATGTTACAATCTAAGTGGTCGATACACAAAGGGATATTATATTCTGGTTTGTATTTTTCCATATATTTGAAATATTTCATGAGGTAAAACAAAGTTCTAAATAAAGAATTTAGGAGATTTTCTTTGTAAGTCAGTTTATATCTTTGGCCCAGATCTTATTTCTTATAAATCAAACTGCCTACTCGTACCTTGGCATATGACATGCTTGGATATCTAAATTATAATTCAAATTCAACATGCCCAAAATAGCATTCCTGGTTCCTACTCTTCCCCCTCATAACCACAGAATTCTTCCCCATTTCACTTGATCACATCTCTATGCTTTTAGTTGCTTTGTTCAAAAACTCTGGAGATATCTTTGACGCCTCTATTTATCTCAGACCCTATTTTATCCCATCACGCATTCGTCTCCACTGATAATATTCTAGTTGGAGGCACCATCATCTCTCCCTGGATTATGGCAATAGCCATTTCTTATGTGATTTCTCTGTTTCTATCCTTCTCTCTTCTAGTCCATTTTCAACATATTTGCAGAGTGAGTCTTTAAAAACTCTTGTCAGATATGTATTTCCTCTGCTCTAGAGCCTAGTAATGAATGCTTATTTTGCACAAAATAGAAACCAAATCCCTTACAATGTCCCCTAGTACCATAAATAATCTCTACCGCATCTCCTATTAGTCTTCCAATCCCTCACTCTGCTCCAGGCCCACCGGCTCCTTATTATCCCTTGAATATGGAGATACTTTCACATTTTACAGCTCTTGCATATCCTGTTTCCCCTACTTGGCTTATTCTTTCTCCGTATATCTACATGGCTACCTCCCTCAACTCTTCAAATCTTTGCTCCTATATTATCATCTTAATTAGGAATTTATGATATCCGTATTTAAAGATTTTATTTATTTATTTTTTCCCCCAAAGCCCCAGTAGATAGTTGTGTGTCATAGCTGCACATCCTTCTAGTTGCTGTATGTGGGACGCGGCCTCAGCATGGCCGGAGAAGCAGCGTGCCGGTGGGAGCCCGGGATCCGAACTTGGGTCGCCAGCAGCGGAGCGCGCTCACTTAACCACCAAGCCACGGGGCCGGCCCTGATATCCGTATTTAAATTAGCAACCCACCATCCCTGAATCCCCGATCTCCCTTACCTTGTCTACTTTATTTCCCATAGGATAGATTATCCTTTCATATATTATATTTAGGTTGATTAATCGTTCTTACATGCCTGGATCCTGGGGTTTCCCAGAATGTGGGAATTTGAGTATTAAAACTGGAAAAGTTTTGAGCAAACTAGGACAAGCTGGTCATCTTATTTTATGTTTTTAAATCTATTTATTACCACCACCCCAAAAGAGCAAGAGTTCCATGAGAGCAGAACGCCTTGTGTGTTTTGCATGGTGCACATCAGTAGGTGCTTAATAAATACTAGCTGAGCGGTTGTATTTTATTTTAAACCGATTTTTATTTTAAACAGTATTTCAACCTGATCCCTGTATAATTCTTAAAGTTTGAGCACTATGGTTGTGAGTTTATTAACTTCTTAATGGGGAAGGATTTGTCAACACATTATGAAATGTATACTACTGTTAGGTCTCTATGTGCCAAGGTAAATTGAGCAATAACCTGTGTTTTATTTACTCGCGTTGTTATTTGGGTTATTTGTTAATTGTTTTTATTGTTCAAAATGTCTGAATTTGAAGAATCCTTTCATGTATTACAACACAGATGTATCTGAACTAAATGATCCTAGTAACTGGAGATGATCTGGATGCCCGAACTCTTTCTTAAGTTTGCCAGACAACTACACGGTTCCCCGATCCTAATGGGCAAGTCAGCCCTATATACTGACAGATATTCTGAGGCCAGAGGGAAGCCTAGTGATCAGGACTCTCTTACCTCCAGTTTTGTTATAGAGCTCTCGACAAAGTTTTTCAGCCACGTGCTGCAGAGTTTCTGCAAGCTTCCTGTTTTGGGCTTGGAGAGACTGCAGCTGTCGGGAGAGATTCCCCAATCTTTCTTCCTTTTTAAAGAGGCTGTCTTGTTGAGTATTGGAGAGCTGGTAGAACTGAAAAACTGACCCAAGTTACCAAGTCAGATTGGACAGCTTATTTCTTCATTTCTATTTCTATTTTCTACATATGGGAAGACGAAACAGTATTTCTTTAAGATCTCAGGCTCTGAGATCTCATATTGCCTATATTCAAGTTTGGACTGTAGTACATAATAAATTGGATTTTCCTTGGGCAAATTAATTTCTCTAAGTCTGTTTCCTTATCTGAAAATGTGGAGTCATAATAACAGTTTCTAACTTCAGGAATAAATTTCTTAACCAAATTTACTACTCAGTAAATATTTTTATGTATACTTTCAAACCATTACTCAACCACAGGTCCATTTATGTATTGATCATTATATTGAGTATTGACAATGTACCATATATCATTATCTCATTCAATCATTAAAATAGTCATATTATTATTTCTGTATTTTTATAGAGCTGCAATTGGGCTCAGTGAGAACAAGTAACTTCCTTAGTATCACTTGGCTAGAAAATTTCAATGCTTAGCTTTAAACTTCAGGTTTCTAAATCTAAGTAGAGAAATCCTTCAGGAATCATGAGAGTTGTTTTATATACCTAAAAACAATGATGGTTGCAAAACAATAGTTTTATCAAAATGAAGTAAAAATTTTGGGGCCAGGTGGAAATACTAAGAAATTATTTTTTTTCATTTTAAAATTTAAGATCAAAACAAGTTTCTAAAATTTCCTTTAAAAAAAGCAATTTTTGGCATTAAAACGTGCTTGTCTGTGTGGCCTTTTACTTTGAACTACCTTCTTCAACTGTTCAGGAAACATTGCTGTAGAGTCTCAATCTGATGAAGCAAATTTGCCCACTTCCTTTTTTAAGTTTTTTCCTTTGTCCTTACGAGTTTGAAATTTAAAGACTTTTATACATGCATTCGTCCTTGTTTGATTTTCACACGTTTTTGCAAAATGATTCCATACCTTCCTGGACTTTTTGAAAAAATGTTACAGTGATTAAAAACCTAGTCTGTTTTCCTTACATTGAGGGGGCGGAATGTAAATGAAATTTCTTCCCTCTGCTTGGCCCGCTGCACCATGCATACTGAGAGCAAAACCCACTGCTGCTCTACTCTTTTGTGGAATGGGAAAGGGCTGAAGTATGCATTTATTAAAAATTGATGATTTTAAATATTGACATATAAACAAATAGACAAAAACCTTCTAGTCTCAAAAAGATTGTAAAAGTCTAGCTGGCAAGTGATTGTTGTATTTTAATGCTTCTACTACTCATCATTTAAATAGGTGCATTAGAGTAAGGTACATTGAATTACCCACAGGCTCCAGAATTAAAGTAAAATAAAAAAATCTATATCAAGTATTTCTCATCCTAGACAAACCTTGGAACCGGGATCCTCCCCCAAGTCAGAGCGGAGACTTACACACAAGCCCCAGTGCTGCCAGGCCAATCAGCAGCAGTGAGCACAAAGCCAGCAGGGTCAGGGCCACTGGACGCCAAGCTGAAGAGCGGGGCTGGTGCTCTGCAGGGAACAAAAGAAAAGGCAGGGTTTCGCTTTTTCTTCCTCTTGGATCTACATCAGCAGCAAGCAAGTGAGAGGAGTTGGTTCTGGGAAGGAACAAATTCTGCAGAACAGTAATCAGGAGCTAGAAAACATTCCCTCTGTCCTCAGAAATATTGTCATAAAGTTCTATGCCAAGCCTCACTTATCACAGCTAGATACTTTCACAAGCCCCACCCATTTCTATTCTCCCCACTCACCCAGTCCTACTTTGCATTGAATCTAGTTATGCATTACCATTATCTTTATGTGGTTGTTTGCATAACCTTCTTTTTGTTAAAATTTGATTTATAAAAGATTCTCATGAAAATGCCTTAACAAGGAACAATTTTCCACATCAGAGAAGAGATGCAATTAACTTGTTACTTTTGCAAAACATCCCCCTCCCAAGTTTCATGTATGCGTCTTCTAAAGACCAAATTGCATATCAGTAAAGCGACGTGATCTCTTTGCTGTTTCTCTTTAGGATTTCTTTGTAAGGATTTTGTTTGTTCATTCATTTGATTTATATCTCTTCAAAAATAGATTATAAAGACATGATCATCAATTTCTCAAGGATGGATCTAAGCTATTTCAATTTTGCACCAGTTAAGTAATAAAAAAACAAAAAAAATCTATAGCCAGCATCCTTCCCTTGCCCACATCCCCACAAGTTTGCCTTACAGGAACTGCTGAGTCAAGAGTAAACCCATCACATAGTGAGCTCATTTATCAATCTGAATGACGTAAGATGTCTAACAAGGAAGCCCCTAAATCAGGTACAGGTAGCATCTAGCACTGTGATTAAAGTGAAACAAAGGAAGAGCAAAACTCTCAAACAAACCCTGATCTCTTCATGACCTGTGTTTCACTCCATTGGGAATTTAAGTTAGGTTCTAAAACAAAAAGATTAAAGACATATAACTTCATTTCCTCCTTAGCAAAGTCCTGTACATAATATAAGTACAGGGATTTGTGCTAAACATTATTTCCAAATGGGGAATGATAAGTGATAAAAATAGCATAGAAATAGAAAATATGATCACTATTTTTTGGAACTTACAGTCTGGTAGAGAAAATATGTAAAAATCAGAGGGCAGACATTGATGTGTTTTAAAATGTGAATCTTATTTTCTCTTGATAATCATCTCCTTCATAAAAACTTTCAATGGCTTGCATTATTTTTAGAACAAAATTCACATCACTTTTCACAAAGACACAGGTCCCTCTTTTTAAAAAATGGAAATTTGATTATGGTACTTCCTGACTTAAAAACTGCCAATAGCTTTATTGCACTTACAAGAATCTTTTTGATCTGGACCCTACCTAGCACTTTCATCCATTTCTGAGCTAATCTTTTCTCACCCAAATGCTCTACTCACAATGGGTTTCTGTTTATCCTTGATCCAAACAAGCTTGTCCCTGTCTTAGTATCTTTGCATTAGCTCTGCCCTCTACCCCCAAATTAATTAATCCTTAGATTGGTTATTGGTAGGCTGCTTCCTGTTACTCGGCTTTTGATTTAAATAACACATCCTCAGGAGAGGTCCATGAGTCCATTTCTAGCACATCAGCCATTATGTATGCTTTTATAAAATTAGATTAGTAAGTAATATTTTCATGACTTTGTTTCTGTCTATCCCCTCCCCCCTTGAATGTACATTCCTTAAAATAGTGATCTTGTCTATCTTATTCACCAATGTATTTCCAGTACTGAAAATACTGCCTGGCACATAAGGCTTGGATACATATTTGAATGAGTAAATGAATGAAGAATGCAATTAGGAAAAATTAATATTACCCAAACTATGTAAATTTTACAGAGCACAGAGGATTATCTAAAGTTAAACTTTACAGGTTGATTTTTTAAAAATCGACTGACTTTTCAACAATATTTCTGTCAGCAGAGGGCAGACTAAGACAAATACATCTCCCAGTCATACTGGTTTCTATATTTATGCGAGATTCTGTATCATGAACAAATATGAGAGAAATTTGCTTTCTCCTCTGTTTCCTTTGATTAACTGGCCTATATAGTTTGGTCTAAATTTTCCTGGAAATTGGTGGTTTCTCATGGCATTGACCTTAAGAGTATCTCAAGTCAGAGTATAAAAGAACAAGATCAGAGGGCAGAATATAGCTTAAGCTAAATATCATCTCCAAAACTCTAAGTCTTTTTAAATTTCTATATAGCCCAAGAAAATTAACCATGTGGATGTTTCTAGATTCCAGAGGTACAAGTGCATATATGGACCCACCAACAATGGCTTTATTTTTCTCCATATGTCTTATCACCGTCAAATATACTATATATCTTACTTATTTCTTTTGGTTTATATCTGTCTTACCCCAGCAGAAAGTAAGCTCCTTCTTGAAAAAGATTATTGTCTGTTTAGTCCCTATCATAGCTCAGCATCAGTTGAAATAAGCTCGATTAATATTGATTGAATGAATGCATGTGTCTGTTATACATAAATATCTCTGTTATATGCTTGTTTACCTTTGCTCTAACCTAATTAGAGTACTACATATCTCAAAAACATAAAAAATGGTAAAAAATGCTGTCCCTTTTTATGATCAATATTTCCCTTGTCAAAATTAGAAATAATTTTAAAAAGGTAAAGGAGAAGAAGAACTATGGAAATCAACCAAATTATTTATCCCTTAAGAAACCTGCTTTCGCTTGTATAATATTGAGGGCAAGGGAGATGTTGTTTTTCTGCCCTAAGGATCAAAAAGAATGAACTTAAATCCTTACTGTGAAGCGAGAGCATGGACTTTAGGGATTAGAACATTATGTAATAATAATTATATCCATGTAAAGAATAAATATTTGATCCTTCCTAAGCTTGCCTCTAGGACAGAAAAAGAAAGAAATGTAGTATGTTTTTTCCTAAGGAAACAAAAGTTTTAAAAATTCCCTTCTAAGGAATCATCTTTCTCTGATCATTTGAAAATTTTTCCACTCTGACTCTCCTCTCTCTCTCTATCTCCCTCTCCCTCTCTCTCTCTTCTTCTCTTCTCCCTTAATATTCACAATTCCTCCCTGTTTTATCTAGAGACCCAGAGAAACATAACCCTATGGAATTTCTATAGCAGGTATGGTCATTTCCTAGGAAACTACGCTTCCATGATGAAAAGACTATGGAGTTGAAAGTTTCACTTTTCTTTTTCTTTGATGTTGTTTTTCCCTCTCGGTATTTTTTTTTTTTTTTTCTTTTCTTAACTATGAGTTTCATGTTTCTGAGTTCTATTCTAAGTGCCCCTGATCATGAGGTCTCTCTCTAGGGACTACTCCCACCTAAAACAAGAAAAATAAGCTGCCTGGGAGGTACCTCAGTTTGGCTTGGCTTTATTGTGGTTTTAGTTTTTGGAAGAGAACCCCTATGCTGTCTCCTGAGGCATGTTTAGAAAGAGGTGTGGACAGGCCAAGGAATGATATAAACATCCCTAGGAATAATAAGATATATGCAGGAAAAAACATCCCTTTCCTGTATCCTTTTACTATAACTCTACTATAAAAGGCAACAGTGCTAAGGACAAGTTTTGAATACAGATTTCCTTGTAGGTTTAAGAAACTTTGTGGATGAAGAGAGTTGTCATACTTGACCAGTTACTCTTCATCAGGCACCAGAGAGGGAAAATTTTGTTCACCTCCATTCCCAGGGCCAACAAAAAAATGAAACAGACGTTACCAAACGTAGTCTATTTATTCCTCTGAAATAGAAAGAATCTTAAAAGCCGGAAAAGACACAGAGAATTTAAATAATTTGCACAAAACCACATCACAAACTAGTGGCATACAGCATATGGCACATAGTAAACCTTCTCTTGTGAGGCTGTTCAAGGTTCCACGGGTTGGGAGTATTTTTCGGTGTTCATGAAAATGCAAGTTTCCTTTCCCTTATGAGTCTATTTTGAATGTTTGCTATTTTCATTCTCTCTAAAATTAAATGGGTGTTACCATTCCTATTATTTCAAAAAAAATATACATCTAAGAACCTATAAGCTATTTCCAGAATATTACTGAGTTTTTGATTCACAGAAATTAAAATCTCAATTATATTTTTCTTTTGAGTAAATTTAGGCTAGTCAATTTTATATCCCAATCAAGGAGTTTCATTTCTGAAATATAATTCAAAAATAACATTACTATAAATTATAATTGCTAAAATTCCTTGAGTTATTGTGATAAATGCCATATATGAATCACCTCATCTATCCTTACAAACACCATATGAGGTAGATACTATGATAATCCCCATTTTAGATGTGGGCAACTGAGTCCCAGAGGAGTTAGTTACCTTACCCAAGGGCACACAGCTACTGATGATGATACTGAGTGTGTTATATATGCTGTAGTATTTCACTTGAATCTGCCAAAAAATATTCAAGAGGGCACTATTTTTACCCTTTTTTTGGTTAAGAAAGCTGAAGTGCCAAGTGCTTAATTTGCTTAGGGTTGCACAGCCAGCAAGTGATGGTGGCAGAAGTGCTATCTAAGCACTCTCCTTCCAGAGCTGAACATTTTAATCATTTTCCTATCTTCCCGACAAATCTTACATTAATATTTGCCCTTATATGGCAGTTCCAAATGGAATTATAGTGTTTTACCACTTGCATCTTTTTGCTTCTATATTGTGAAGTATCTCAGTAGCAGCCACCTTAAATCATACATTCTCCATTCTACTTAAGGAAAAACGTTTCTTAGTGTGCTATATAAGGGCCTGCATAGTAGGATCCCATCCTGCTTTTTAGCCTCATCTTCCCAAATCCCCCTCATACACCTACTCCCCTTGAGGACTGTTCATTCCTCAGCCCAAGTGTCCACCTTGCCCTCATGTTAGACTCTGCTGATGATACTCAAAATTATCTTATCCTGATCTAAATTCCAATCCAAAATTAACACCTCATCTTCTCCCTCTGAACTTGTCTTTCTTAATTTTACCCATCAATACACTGAATCTCTGATGTGTACCCCAGATTAGTTCTTGCCCCTCTGCTTTTATCTTTGCACATGAGGTCCTCACTATGGCAAGGTCACCCAGTGCTCCATCTTGCTCCACCTGAAAATTTCGACTCAGCCTTGTAGCCCAGGATCAAATGCCACTTCTTGCAAAAATATGCACATGACTTAAACACAGTCACTAACTTGTTCATTCCTGTTTGTGCCTATGGCCTCCTGTACATATTCAATAGCAATACACCACATTTTCTTATAATTATTGATTCAGATTATTCCTTCCACTTCTCTAAGCACCTCACAAACAGGGTCTCCCCAGTGCCTACCATAGTGCTTGATATTAAGTAGGTGTGCTTTAAAGATTTGTTGAATCAATTAGATGTGATTTATGCCATGACTCAGCAATGAAGGGTTTATGCTGTAGTTGAGGAAATTAAACTAAAAATCTAGGAAAAATTTGAGAATATTGTAATTAATGTAAACAAAGAAAAAATGGAACTTGAATTTCTCATTAAAGGTTTTTTGTTTTTTCTTAAACCCAAATTGGTTTTCATATTCTTTTGATAGGATTACATTCAGTTTCCAGCTAGAATTTTGGCCCATCAGTTATTTCATTCTCTCTCTCCTCGGTATACTATTTCTGCAAAGTACTTTACCTGCACTTCTTTTCAAGCGACAATTGAGTTAAAATCTCCCATACCTTAAAAAACAACTTTACAAAGCACTCACTCAACCCCATAATACCTGAGCTATAACACTTTATCTCTTCTCTTTACAGCCAGGCTCCTCAAAAAAGAAGAAAGGAAGAGAAAAAAAGACAATGATTTAAATTGTCTATTTTCCTACCTCTCAATTCCCTTCAAATCTCTGCTATTAAAAATTACCAATAATCCGTTTTCCTCCTCATTGCTAAGACAATAAATTATTTTGGGGCTTCCTCTTACTTGAACTCTCTGCAGATTTATTGTTTATTATTTTAAAGATTCACCATTCATTACCATTGACTTTTCCATTTCTCTTGAAGTTATTGTCTCCTGGCTTCCTAGATGCCTCTCCTGGTCCAGCTTCTACCACTCTCTGCCATCCATTCTTATTACCTCTTATTGGAATCTCTTGCTCATCCTGGCCCTTAATTGTTCTATTCTCTGAGATTCTCTTCTTGGCACTCTTCTCTTCTCTTCTTTTGTCTTTTCATTTTACATTCTCTTCCTCGGTGATCTCACTCATTCTTATGAAGTTTAATTCCTAACTGAACGCCAGCAATTCTCATATATATATGTAGCTCAGAATCCTTACCTCTGAATCACATCCTGTACATACAAGTGCCTTTGGGCAACTCCAGTGTGTGTGCCTTCTCTTATAGGCATCGCAAACTCAAACTGAATTCATCTTTCCTATAGTGGCTATCTCAGTTAATGGCAGCACCACGCACATAACATCAGATGGAACCTAGCCAACCTCTGCTCTCCCTTTCCTTGTCTTCCACATGTGACCAGTCACCAATTCTTTAAACTCTACCTCCTCAACATCTGTCACATCTGATTCCTCCTCCTCGTTCCCGTACCACTTCAGTTCAGCTTCTTCTAATCTCATGCTTAGACTAATGCAAAATCTGGTATTAGCTCATCCAGTTTTATACTTCTTCAATCCATCCTCCTCATTGCAGTATAGATGGTCTTCTAAAAACCAAAATTGATTATGTTACTTCCTATTTAAATTCCTCAGTGACCTCATTTCACCTAGTGAATAGAATCAAAATACCTCAGTAGGACATAAAAGATCCTCCTTAACTTTCCAGACCTACCTCTTGTCAAGCTTCCTCCCTCCAAGTCTACACATCAACCACAACACACTGCTTATAGTTCTCTAAAAACACAAAGTTACTTAAGACCTTCATGGCTTTCCTCCCATGTGTCTGTCTGCCTGTAGTGCCCCCAACCCTTTAAGTTCTCCCACTTCTGCTTCCATATCATGTGGAACACCTTAAAGTTAACTCAATTCAATGTTCACTCCCTCTCTCAAACCTTCCTTGATCTCCTCTACTCTTGTCAGATAGAAATGACCAAGCTCTCCATTGTACCATGTGCATCCTTCCATCATGGCACCTTATCACACTTATTGCTTAGTCAAGAATTGTATTAGACTTTAAGTTTCCTCACAAACAGGGACCATATCATATTTGGCATTATATCCTCAGTACTTTGCCAACATGCCTGGCATGACATGACCCCTAGCATAAGTTTGTGGAAAAAAGGTATGAGAGTGTTGTCTTTCCTTTTTACTTTCTAGCTTCCTAATTGTTTGGCATTTTTTTAACACAAGCATAACTTTTATATTGAAAAAAATGAAAGTTTAGAAAAGAAATGAAAGTATATAATTTATTTTTAACTCTAAATAAAAATTAAAATTTTCCAGTCATAATTGTGCCACATTATGTTGAATCTGAATTCTCTGCATTGCCAAAAAATTCCCAGAGCAATTTTTGCTCTGTTATTTTTAACAGCAAAGTTATATCAGATCTATTTTCCTAAGAAATAATTAGACTTCTGTAGTGACATTCCTCTAAATATTTGCATTATTACAAGATAAAAACAAGATATCATATATGTACGCTAATATAACTATTTTCAGATGCTTGCCTCCAAGACACTTTTTTGTAACCTCTACTCCTACTGTATCAATTTCCACTTTTTACACAAAGGCTGCCAGATGTTTCAGTTAGTGTTTTATCCTGCTCCACCTCCCTCTCCACCCTCCAACCTCAGCAGAATTTATTTGTACACCCTGTTCCTGATTATGCTGATCACTAATCCTTGTGAGAGTTCCCGGCTCTAGTCAAAGGTGAAAAATGAGGTTATACACAAGGCACTTAAAACCACAGCCCTAAGAGCTGACTCTTCACAAGATTTGTTGGAGGAAAACATATTGTATCCAATTACATGTATCCGGTAGCTACAGAAACAGACATTCCAAAGTTGTCACTTTGTTTCACATCAAGGAGGCTGGAAATCCCCCGTATTTCCTCACAGTTTACTAGATAGATTAGTTAAAAAAAAAAAAAGCCACATCAGTGAGTCTCAGGTGGGGGATCATTTAATGGATAGAAAGTGAATGGAAAGGTTTAGTAGGGAAAGGAAGAGAACTTAAAAGTTATTTTATAAAGGGGAAAAGGAAGACAACTGTGAAAAAGTGTATGTCCAAATTTATAGAGGTGAAGAAAATGTGGATATGGTCAAAAGAGAAAGGACATGAAGATACAGGCACTGAATGAGTCTCTCTCTGATGCAGACTGACACAAAAATGTTAAGCAGAACACTGAGAATTCTCAAAGAATGTAATATTGAAAAGACACATTTTTAATGTCTCTGCAACGCACCAAGGACTTTACATAGCTTATCAACCTTGGTTGATAAGCTCATAGCCACTTTATAAGAGAGGTTTTGTTACTTCTATTTAATATTGGTTCAAGTTAATATGAATTAATACGTATAAAGTGCTTAAAGCAATGAGAGGCACATAAAAATCACTATATACATGTTTACTATCATTAACATTTTACAAATGAAGAAATTAAAGCCCTAGACTACTTAATAACTTTAATATTACACAGTAAGTGGCATATCTTGTACTAGAATCTAGTCTTGCCTGTATTACAGTGTGAGATCTTTTCACTAGAACTCAAGTCAGATTTCTGCCTTAGTTTGAGTTGCCCAAGAAATAAGATCCTTCTCTATGTATGCGAATTATCTCTTCTAAGGACTGAAAAAATAAATATTTTATTACTACGTCAGAGAGTGAATTATTGGAAATAAAGGCATAAGATGGAAGCTAAATGTAACTACAATTAAATATTTTCATAATTTAATTCAATCATCTCAATAATATTATGAGAGTCAATAGAACAAAAGGGAATGGGACGGGATATAATTGCATCTGAGTACACTGTTTAGATCATCGAATTACAGAATTTCAGAGCTGAAGAGACCTTAGAAAGCATTTGCTTTAATCTCCCCTCATTTCAAAGGTGACAAAACCAAACACCTGATGTTGACATGACTCCCAAGGCCTCACAACTTCAGGATGCAGAATTATAATAACAAAATACCAGGGTTGATGTGTCTGCTTGGAAATCTCCCTCTAAAGCCATGAGTTCAAAACTAGCAAAAATGTAGCCTTTATAAATTTCCAGATCAGATTACAGATGGTAAATAAAACAGCGTTGGATTTGGCCTTCCTGGGAAGGCAGGAAGGGGAAGGGACATTGCTTTACTTGTACATACAATCTCACCTAGTATGCTATAGCTAGTTGGTAAAAGCAACATACTCTCAACTGCAAAATACTCTGCCAGCAATCAAATCTTAGAAAAACAAACATCTGTGTATATATTGAGTTTAATTTTTCAGATGTTCATATATGTGGCACATAAGTTGAAAAGTACACAGTTACATATTATTGTAAATCATGAATGCATTTTCTCTCTTTCCTCCATTTTGTACATTCCTAGGAGAGAGAGCTCATCTCATGCATTTCTCAAGGGGCTGGCCAATTTCCACTCTGGGAGGCAGAGTACCTGTGCGCTCCGGCTCTGGCCGCTGGGTTGTAGTAGACGCTCGAGAATGCAGGCTCAAGGTGGTGTCCCCATCAGCATCCAGCATGTCCCTCGTGCTGCTGTACTTGGCCTGCATCTGGATTCCTGCAGGGGTGAAGGCGAGCTGTGGTCAGATTTCCCCAGGCCACCGGGCTACTGTGAGACAATTCAGGAACTGAGGCACTCAAAGGCATTCCTAATGTTCTTCTCTCCCAGCAAATAGCAGGGGAAGCCTCTGACTCCAGTTCCTGCCTGGAGAAGCCCAGCCCCTCTCCTGTGAACTTGTACTCTGAATGCCAAATTGGTCAGACGGAGGGGAAATAGCATGTGTTTTCTATTTGGGCGGTCTCTGAACAACGATCAAAGGGGTTGCCCTTCTCAGATATCTTTTGTTCACCTGCTTGTACTTCCTGTGTTACTACAGTGTAAAAAAGCCAAGACCGTACAATCGTATGGAGATTCCTTCAGACTCTGCAGAGCAATAATCAGTTGGAGGGATACATATCACCCAATTTCTTACCCATCATACACTCACTGAGTTCCTTAGATTAAATTTAACGTCTCTGTGCCTTTGTGAAAAGAGAAGAGACTATAGGACCAACTTCTTTCTTTCTCCAAGGGCAGAGTACAATGCATCGTATACATGGAATGTCAGCACAAAAGAGTCCTTTTGAGGATATCTAATTGATTCTACTCTTTCATTTTCCAAAAAAGTAAATTGAAGCCTAGCTAGATGAAGTGATTGCTCTAAAGTCACACAGTTGGTTAGTGACAGAATTAGGTTTAAAACTACTCTCCTGTTGTCAATTCAATGATCTATCTTCTTACAGTATTTGGACTCAATTTAACATTTTGTAGCACATCTGGTACGTCATGATCATGAACAATTACACATTTTACTGGAAGTCAGGAATTTTAGAATTATTACTAACTACCTGTGAGTTTAAGAAGCCAAGTAACAATTTTTGCTTAAATTTCCCAAGTTGAGAAGGAAATGAGAAGATTATTTTAGATGATGTCCAAAAATTCTTCCTGAATCCATACAATAGAATTATATTATTCTACCAATACTTTTCTATATTTTGGGTGATTGCTTGGCTAAATCAAACATCCTAAATACAAAAGAGTGTAGAAGATGCTTAGGTTGGGGCACCCAGGCCCTATGAGGAACGGATCAGGAAGTATATATTGTGGATTCATTGTGTGTCTCAAGCCATGTATTGTTCACCAGGTTATTCTAAATAAAATGAATCTAAAGAGACCTTTCTCTTGCACAATGCCTTGTGAAAAGTAGGAAATCAAGAGCCAGCCCTGATCACCTAGTGGTTAAAGTTTGGCACACTCCACTTCAATAGCCTGGGCCTGGTTCCTGGATGTGGAACCACACCACTTGTCTGTCAGTAGCCATGCTGTGGTGGTGGCTCACATAGAAGAACCAGAAGAACTTACAAGTATACACAACTATGTACTGGGGCTTTGCGGGGGAAAAAGAAGAAAAAAGGAGAAAAATTGGCAACAGATGGTAGCTTAGGGCAAATCTTTCCCCACAAAAAAAAAAAAAAAGTAGGAAATCAAAAATGATTTGGTCATTCGCATTGGATTGATGATTTAGAAAATAGAAGAGAAGGCAGTAAAAAATTTGAAAAGAGAGGTAAGTGAAGCACATACGAGAATGAAGCAGAAAGATAGAATATTAGAAATTGCAACAGCTGGGGCCAAAAAAAAAAAAAAAAAAAGATTTAGGAGATGCTGGTAATTATGATTCTAATGAAACAGCTATCAGAACTATTTCCAAACTTCAGCGATTCAAGTAGATCCTTGATAATTTTTGCCAAGCAACCTACATTAGAACATTTTTACTACTTGTCCTTACTTATTTTTTCTAACAATGACAAAAATATTTTTTGAACACCTACTTTGTAGCAGGTACTATTCTGATTCTGGGATACATCAGGTTAAAAAAAACTCTCTGAGAGGCCAGCCTGGTGGCGTAGTGGTTAAGTTAGTGTGCTCTGCTTTGGTGGCCTGGAGTTCGCTGGTTTGGATCCTGGGCACAAACCTACTAACCGCTCATCAAGTCATGCTGAGGCAGCATCCCACACAGAAGAGCTACAACTCTACAGCTATGATATGCAACTAGGTACTAGGGGTTTGGGGAGGAAAAAAAAGAAAAAGAGGAAGATTGGCAACAGATGTTAATCTTCCTCAAAAAAAAATCTCTCTGTACTTTTAGAGCCTACATTCTATGGAGGAAGGCAGATGATATATAAGAAAGATCATAAGTAAGTAAATAGTAGAATATATTTGACTGTGATAAGAGTTATGAAAATATATGGAGGGTAAAAGAAATTAAGGATGTAGAATAAGAAGTGTTAGTAATTTTAAATAGGTGGTTAGAGTCAGCCTCATTAAGAAAGTGATATTTGTTCAGAGACTTAAAAGAGGTGAAAGAGTAGGCCCTGCAGATGTCTTGCGTAAGAATCGTTCAGGTAAAGGAAACAGGCAGCTCAAAGGCCCTGAGGCAGAAGCATGCCAGCTGCGGTTGAGAAATAAGAGAGAAACGAGTGTCCTAAAAGTAATGAGTGAAGAGGAGAAAAGTAGATTAGCTCAAAGGAGTAAAGTGGGCCACAGTAACTGTCTTATAGATAATTCTAAAAGTCTTTTGGTTTTGGTTTTGATTTACTTTTTTATCCTGACTTGCATGGGAAGTTGAAGAGAGTTTTGGTAGAGGGCTGACATGATTTGTTTTAAATTTAGTGGACCCACTCTGCTATGTTTGAAAACTACCTATGGAAGGGCAAAGGTGGATGCTGGGAGACTACTTTGAAAATGGTCCCAATAACTCAGGCAAGAGAAGGTGGTGGACCTTTAATAGGTAAGTTGTTTCTTCTAGCATGATTATTACTCATCTTGAATTTATCTTTCAGATGTAAATTCAGCTAGCAGCTATTTTCCCTTTTCTGTCCCTTGGAAAAGTGCGGATGTTTTCCGTTTATTCCCATGCACATTTCCACGTAAGCTGTGGTATAAACATGTATTAACAAGTCAGGTATGGTGTGTGCCTTGCACGACCTAGAGCAATCTTACTTTACACCATCGCTTTTGTCATATTTATGCTTTTCTCTTTAAGTCATAAGTTATTGTTGGCCAGACTGTCCATTCTAGATAAGCACAGCTGGACATTCAGCACCCAGAATTATTTTCCTTGATTACTATGATTTCTTCAACTCATCCATTCCATCCTGGGGGAAACCAATCAAACCAAAAACAAAATTAAAATTGGCATCTCTTCAAGATCCCACCTTGTGCCTTAATTTAACTCTCAACCTGGATTATCTTTGCCCTTTCCACATTTCCTTTTAGATAGTGACAACACAGGTTTGCATATTAAAAGACAATAGTAAACTTCACCAAAAATCTCTATCTTCTTCTCTTAGATTTTTAAATATTTAAGATCTCATATTTATTCTTCAACACAGAACTATCTACTACACTACCTCCTCCCCAATGCCAAATTCATCATCATTTTGGGGGAGAAGGCAAACTGTGATAGTGTTTATCACACACAGCACATAATTTGGAGGCCAAAGTTTCTTTGATTAACTTTTTATTAAAGTGAAATTTGCATAACACAAAATTAACCATTTTAAAGTGAAAAATATTGTGAACTTGATACAATTTCTGTTCACATATTAATAAACAAGGGAAGGCTGTAAATGCCTCTCCAATAATATGGAAATCCCCACTGGAAATAAAAATAGCATCAGTAGAAAAGACTAAAAGAAAATAAGAAAGAAACAAATCATCATATGAGGAAACATAGTTATGTTCCAATAATACCTTTTTACGGTCATTACCGAAGAATTGTTGAAAACTGCAAACAGTAATCATAAAAAATAATAAAATACGTTTCTCATTCTAAAATTTTAATACCTCTGTCAATAGGATTGGTGACTTTTTTCATATTCATTTTCAGATCTTCTTTTGATTGGTAGTATTTAAAAAAGAGAAAGCTTTCTTACAAGAGCAGTTTTCCTACAATTTCACATTATATAAGATCCTATTAGTCAGAAATGTGGCAGACATATTCTCTGGGCTATGTAATTGAGGAAAAAAAAGGGGGGGGGTTGCTGCTTCTTCTTGAGGCTTTTGATCACAATCATGACCATACTGATGAACAAAATAATAAAATAGCTCTGATTGCCATGAAGATATTTTTTCATTTCTTCATTTATCTATTCAGAAATATATTTTGCCTTCCACCTGTGTCTCACAGACTGCTAGAAGTGGAGGAACACACCATGGAAACACACCGTGTGTACAGTGGCACTTTATAAGGACAAATACGACTCTGGTAGAGCCAAAAATTAAGATCTTGAAACACCAAGGATTTGTGGCTAATCCCAGGTAAACACCAAATCAGTGGTAAAGTGAAAATTCAAGTTCAGCTGCCCTGACTCTATTTCTAGGCCTCTATTAACTAGAATACAATATTGGCCTACCAATAGAGCTGCAGAAATCATAGTCTCTCCATCCTGTTGCTCAGCTAAGATTCAAGTTGGCTGAGCTCTCTTGGTATTTTCAGCACTTATTTTGACCTTAAATATCTCCATTTTCTGTTTTGTTTTCTGCCCTCCTTACTATCTTATAGACTTCTCTCTGCTTCTTCACACCATACCCCCATCATTGTATTAACAGCTTCTTCTCACAAATACTGTATGAGGGTACACTACAAAGTTGGTCATATATGATTGATATGTGAATCCATACACAACGGTGAGATGAGTTTTCCTCGGTAACTGTGCTTCTAATTTGAAACCTGTTAAAATAAAATGCAATGGGGTAATTAGAACAAATCTAAGGAATACTGTCTACTGTCTATACAATGCTGAAATAAATTGGTAAGGATATTGGTGAAGAGAGTTTCTGAAGTGTCTGTACTATTGGAAAAGGAAGCTTGAATTTAGACTGTACTGGTTCTCAAAAGGTAACAGAATAGCCTCCATTATTAAGGCAGAAAAATGACTCAAAATTTTTTTTTAAGAAATACTACTAGTTGCATAAAATTAAATGAAGCTTCTGAAAAAGAAAAAACTATGTAATATTCTGTAGAAAGTTCTTTATTTATCGTTCAACCTCTTACTACAAGTATATTTATCAAAAAAGCAGCAGTTGGGCCGGCCCTGTGGCTTGGTGGTTGAGTGCGCGCGCTGCGATGCTGGTGGCCCGGGTTCGGATCCCGGGTGCGCATCGAGGCACCACTTCTC